TGTAATATCCCAGTACACACTGCACATTACTGGGAGCTCTGTAATATCCCATTTACACTGCACATTACTGGGGGGCTCTGCAATATCCCAGTACACACTGCACATTACTGGGGGTTCTGTAATATCCCAGTACACACTGCACATTACTGGGAGCTCTGTAATATCCAATTTACACTGCACATTACTGGAGGCTCTGCAATATCCCAGTACACACTGCACATTACTAGGGGCTGTGTGATATCCCAGTACACACTGCACATTACTGGGGGCTCTGTAATATCACAGTACAGGGCAGTCTTTAATATTGATTGGATCCTGGGCAACCATTTGCTTGGGCCTCCTGGACCTTGCCATCTCCCACTCCCATGCAATCACGCCATCCACCCCAACACAGTGGAAGAACTAAAGTAAAAAGGGTGCGAGAATTTGTTTGAATCCCTCCTATTGGAATGGTTGCCAAAAGGTAGATCCCTATCTGTTGTGCAACTCCAACAATACTTTGACAGCTAGGGCTCTATCATTTCCCCATGCTTGTAGGGTTGTTTTATCACTGATCAGTGTGTTTGAATGTAAGCATGTTTTTGTATGGAGTTTGTTTGTGTAAATGTAGGGGTGTGTTTGTATGTGGTGTTGTCAATTGAATGTAAGCATGCATTTATGTGTAGTGTTGGTTTTCAAATGCAGTTGTGTATTGATATTTCATTTTGGTGTAAAACACAGTGTTTAATGAAGTGTTGATGTTTCAATGCAGAAGTGTGTTTATATGTAATATTGAAGTTTGAATGCAGGGGTGTATTCGTGTGTAGTGTTGGCGTTTGAATGTTGAGATTTATACACATATACACATACACTGCCACACACTGTAATACACATACACACACATTGAAACACATGCAGAGATACAGACACATATACACACACTGACACACATGCAGATACAGACACTCAGACTGACGCACCTACAGACACACCAATACGCATGCAGACAAACATAAACAACCTGCAGATACACACAGTGACACACATGCAGATACAGACACACACACACACACACATATACACATACTGACAACATACAGATACACAGGGGCAGACTGACAGGTCGGGCAGATCGGTCATGGACCGAGGGCCCGAGGCAGTCAGGGGCCCGGCAGCACAGCCATACTCAGAGATCTCCTCAGCCAGAACAACATGATTTCTCAGTTATTCCAGTGATATGCTGTAGTTAACCCCCCCTCACTCCCCCCCTCACCCGTTTCCCCTCTCTCAGGGAGACCTGGCAGTGAGTATTCGGTTTTTGCTGCCAGGTCTCCAGCGTGTGGTGCTGTGTGTAAGGAGGAAGAGGCGGGGCCAGGAAGTCCCACCTCAACCCCCAATACCCACCTCAACCCACTGTACCCACCTAAGCTCCCCAGTACCCACCTCAGCCCCCCTGTACCCACCTCAGCCCCCATTACCCACTCCTGCTTCCACCTCACCCACCCTGTACCCACCTCAGCCCCCTGTACCCCACCTCTGCTCCCACCTCAGCCCCCTGTACCCACCTTGGCCCCCAGTACCCACCTCAGCCCCCTCTGCTCCCACCTCAGCCCCCTGTACCCACCTCAGCTCCTCCTCCACACACCACATCTCCCCTTGCACCCACCTCAGCCCCCTGTCTCCCTGCACCTACCTTAGCCCCCTGTATTAACCACAGCTCCCCCTGCACCCACCTCAGCCCCCCTGTACTAACCACAGCTCCCCCTGCACCTCCCTCAGTTCCCCTTCACTCACCTCAGCCACCATTCCTCCTTACACTAACACCAGAATCTACCTATCCCTGCACCCACCTAATCCCCTATGCACCAACCACAACCCCTATGCCACCTCCACCTACCATAGCTCCTATGCCTTCCAGTACCCACCACAGCCAATATGTCCCTCCCTGTGCCCACTACAGCCTCTATATCCCATCCTGTGCCCACAACAGCCCCTTGTCTACCCGCACCCACCACAGCTCCTTCTGCACACACCACATCCCCCCCTGCACCCACCTCAGCTCTCCCTTTACCCACCTTAGCCTCCTGTCTCCCTGAACCAACCTCAGCCCCCCTGCACCCACCACAGCCCCATCTGCATTCACCACAGCTGCTCCTGCACCCACCTCAGTCCCCCCTGAACCCACCTCATCCCCCCTGCACCTACCTCAGTTCTCCTGCACTCACCTCAGCCACCATTCCTCCCAACACTCACCCCAGGATCTACCTCTCCATACTCTGTCCAGCCCCATCCCCACTTCAGTCCCCATACCTCCCCGCGCCCACCTCAGTCCCTGTGCCTCACAGTTCCCACCACAGCCCCTGTGCCTCCCTGCACCTATTTCAGCATCTATCCCCCCGTGCACACACTACAGCCCCAGTAACCACCAGATGCCTACTACAGATTCTATCCCACAGACACTGCAACACAGCCAGCCCTCTCCACTCACATAATGCACTGCAAATAGCCCCATTCACACGCGCAGAAACCCACAAGGAGCCTCACTGTATAGACACAATCCCACAAGCAGCATCCCCACACATACAAAATTACATGCAGCCTCCCTACACATACACATCACAAACAGCACACCCACCATTGCAATACTGCACACAGCCTCCACACACACGCACAACTTTTATAATCACTTATATAGCACCAACATATTCTGCAGAGCTGTACAATAGGTAAAACAAGAGAAACGATTAATCTAACACAACATCCCCACACACGCAACCCCACAAGTAGACTCCAAACACATGTGGCTAGTTGTAAGGTTTTACATGTGGGGGATGCTGCTTGTGATGTCCTAAGCAAAATCAGTGCAAGTGTGTAATTAAATTTGTTTTATTTCTTTATTTTAATTGCTGGGGAGGCACACCAGCAAGGGTTACTCCATCTAAAAATAGTGTTTATTAAAACACTGTTTTTGGTTGCATTAACCCCTTAAAGGTAAATCTGGCCATTTTGGGAGGCACTGCGGGTGTGGGAGTCATGGTTGTGTGGCTCTCACACAGCCATTCTGTGTGCTGGGCAGCCTACACATAATACATGTGTAAAAGCAGCAGAAAGAAGGGGAAGAAAAGTAGCAGGGGGCCAGAAAACCTTGTACCAGGACCAGGAGGGCGGGCCCTTGATCACCCACTGCCCGAGGGCCCTGTGAGGTGTCAGTCCGTCCCTGCAGATACATAGATACACAATGACAACATACAGATACACATATGCACTACTGTCACATACACTGACAGACACACTGACACATATACTGACAGACATACTGATTTACAGATAGATACATGCACTGACAGACATACTGACACACATACAGATACATGCACTGATAGACATACTGACACACACACAAATACATACACTGACAGACATACCGACACACACACAGAAACATACATTGACAGACATACTGACACACACACAGACACATACACTAACAGACATACTGACATACATACATGTACACTGACAGACATACTGACACGCACACAGACATGTACACTGACAGACATACTAAAACATACAAATAAAAAAATACTGAAAACGCACATGGACACACTGACAGACATACTGACACACACATAAACACACACTGGCAGACATATTGACACATGCAGGCACACACACTGACAGACATACTGACACATACACACATACACATACTGACACACACACAGACAAACTGACATACTGACATACACTGACAGACATACTAACATACTCAAACACTGACAGACATACTGACACACACAGACATATACACTGACAGCCATACTGACACACACATAAACACACACTGATAGACATATTGACACATGCAGGCACACACACTGACAGACATACTGACACATACACACATACACATACTGACACAGACATACTGACATACACTGACAGACATACTAACATACTCAAACACTGACAGACATACTGACACACACAGACATATACACTGACAGCCATACTGACACACACACACACTGACAGACATACTGACACACTTGCGGCTGTCACTTCCTCCCATCCTGCCGAAAAGCAAGGAGGCCCAATCACGCTGTTAAAGTGCCACAGCAGCTGACCAGACCCCTTCTGACACATGCACTTAGGGCCACCCGGTGGGCCTCCTAAACTTGCTCTAATAGCATGGGCTGTACTGGCAGGCCCATGAAAAAAAAAAAAGAAATTGCGGGCAGCAGGGCCAAAGGGGCCCCCAGGAGTAACTGGGCCAGGGGCAACTGTCCTGTTTGCCCTGTTTGTACACACTGCACATTACTGGGGACTCTGTAATATCTCGGTGCACACTGCACATTACTGTAATATCCCAATACACCCTGTACATTACTGGGAGTTCTGTAATATCCCAGTGCATCATTCACATCACTGATGGCTTTGTAATATCACAGTGCAAACTGCACATTACTCGGGGCCCTGGGCCCTAGGTGGCTGCCTAAGCCACCTTATGGGTAATCCAGCTCTGTGTACTTCACATACTGTTTGCCAGATCCATATACACACGTATCACTTGTTCATGTTGTTGTTCTGCAGTATGTTTTAACATCCCTCACTTAATAAATAACACTCCAAATACAGCCTATTGTACTGGTTATGGTGCCAGGACTGTCCTGGCACTGTCCCACACTAAGATGTTTTTAGTACTGCTTAACATCTTACCTGCGTCCTGTTGGGTGCCCGCACTGCATCAACCATATCTGGCCTTCTCTACATGAAACGCGTGTGAAGACTATATGTGTTCCAAAGATTAGTCCTGCGGTCTGGTTTGATTATTTACTTTGTCTCCAGTGCACGGTAATGGAACAAATGTGTATGAAACATTCATGATATACCTGCACTCTTGGTCTTCATAAACCTCTTACTTTATTCCATCTCAAAATAATGAAGTCCACGTTTCAGTTCTATTAAGGAACCTTCTTCAGGACTACTACTCTTTTATATTTTTAGGTTAACCCCCTGGAACATTTTTGATGGTCAGAACTGTTTGGAGTATGTAAATGACCCTACATTGTGAAACCAGATATATTCAGCGCCAGTAATGGACATGCACACACCAAATCTATTGTTACTATATTATATAACTATATCATAACCATATTAATATACAGATCGCAAATACAATCAAAATAGTTTTCAGAGATTGCAAATGGAAAAATCTTACAAAACCTGTGTGATGTACAGTTGGGTAAGCTGTACTTTCTGGAGACATGTTTTAATGTCCCTGGATGCTTAAAGGACCACTCTAGGCACCCAGACCACTTCAGCTTAATGAAGTGGTCTGGGTGCCAGGTCCAGCTAGGGTTAACCCATTCTTTCATAAACATAGCAGTTTCAGAGAAACTGCTATGTTTATGAATGGGTTAAGCCTTCCCCCTATTTCCTCTAGTGGCTGTCTCATTGACAGCCACTAGAGGCGCTTGCGTGCTTCTCACTGTGATTTTTCAGTGAGAGCACGCAGCGTCCATAGAAAGCATTGTAAATGCTTTCCTATGCGACGAGGAAGCTGAATCGCGCGCAGCGCGTAGCGTCGCATTCAGCCAGGAGGAAGGAGGAGGCAGGAGCTCCCCGCCCAGCGCTGGAAAAAGGTAAGTTTTAACCCCTTTCCCCTTTCCAGAGCCGGGCGGGAGGGGGTCCCTGAGGGTGGGGGCACCCTCAGGGCACTATAGTGCCAGGAACACCAGGAACAAACCTGGGACAGAAGGATAGGGACTGAGATTGTCCTGTCAAAGTTTGGAGGTATGGTAATATGTACCTTATTATTTAGGTTGTTTGATACTTGTGTCATCAAAAAAAACAAAAAAAACAATCAGATAAATAACTGTACTATAGTGTTTAATTACAGTTACTGACATTTCACTCTCAGATGGTAAGAATAGTTTGTTGTGATTTTATGGGATGGGCTCTACATGTGTGTTTCATAATATATGAATATATATATTTATATATCATTTGCTCCAAGATAGGCAAAGGATGTTACTTTTTCGATCTTTTGGCCTTTTTAAATCCTCTGCTTTTCGGTTTCTTAAACTTAGGTTTCTTAACCTTCAACATTTTCCTTTTCTTTTGTTTACTCTTCTTCTTTTTTGCCATTTTCTTCCGCAATTTATCTTTAATTTTTTTTTCTTTTTTCTTTTGTAGCTTTTTCTTCCTCTCTTTCTTTAACTTTTTCTCTTTCTTTTTTTTCTTTTCCTTTTTCTCTCTTTTTTGCTTTTCCTTTTTCTCTTTTTTTTTCTTCCCCTCTTTTTTTTTCTTGTCTTTACTTTTCTTCTTTTCTTTCTCACCACGTTTCTTTTGTTTCAACTTCTTTGCTTTCTCCTTTGTTTTTTTCAATGCTTTTTTCAATGCTGTTTTCTTTCCTTTTTTCCCCCCACTTTTGTCTTTCTCCTCTTTCCCTTCTTTCTTACCCTTTTTTAATTTCTCAGTCTTCTTCGATTTTTCTTTCTTCTTTTTTCCTTCTCCACTTTCATCTTTTTTATCTTTTTGGTCAGTCTTTTTGCTTTCCTTTTGTTTGTCAGAGAGCTCTTTAGTTTTTTTAAGTTTCTGATCCTCTTTCTCCTTTTTCTTCTCACCAGATTCATCTTTCTCCTCTGTATCAGGCATGTTCATTTTACTCATCTTTTTTTCTTGTTTTTCCTGTTTCTGTTTGTTTCCATCATCGTTATCATCACCATCTGTTGCCTCATCTTCGGTGTCTTTAAAGAATGGTGTTTTAGATTTTACTAAGTTCTTAATCCATCCTCCCTCTTTGTCTGGGGCCTTTTCATCTTCCATCTTTTCACTTACAGATTCTGAATCATCCTCCTCCTCCTCCTTCTCCTCCTCCTCCTCGTCCTCCTTCTCCTCCTCCTCCTTCTCCTCCTCCTCCTTCTCCTCCTCCTCCTCCTCCTCCTTCTGTTTCATTTCCTGTTTCCCGTCCAATTTCTTATATTTTAAATCTCTATCTGAAATTGAAGAATTGTATACACTTGATTACTTTATAACATAGTCTCTAATCCACTTTTATTTTATTGAAATTAACCTCTCATCCACAAATTACATAAATGATCGGATGAGATTCAGGTACACTAGGGGTACACAACCTCAGACCTGAGGGCCAAATCTGCTTAGAGAATGCACGCACACTGGCCTTCAGCCCTCAGTGTACAAAATATTGTGAAGTGAAAACTCAGCATGCTCACCTACCATCAAAGAAAATAGAAACTTTCTTTGTAGGGACAGATGCAGAGGGGAGCTGCTGGATTTTGTGACAAATTACAAAAGGAAGACATATACATTCACACAAGTATTGATGCCCATATTTACAAATATGCTATACACAGTTACACACATGCAGGCTGAGGGTGACCCTCAGTTAGTCCCTGAAGCAATCCGGACTTAAATACCCCTGGTATACCCCTGCGGGGAGCATTTCCTCTTTGTTTCACCTCTGAATGCAATAATGTTACCCTATGTCCCAACATGAAACCGTCCTGTCCTCAAATGCCATCTGGGTGGCACAATGTTTTTCTCTTTAAAGTGACACCAACCTTTAAATGCTTTTTAAGTAGTTACTTATAAAAACAACGTTAATTAACAAGTTTCATGTGATAAGTTGACTTGAATTGTGGACTGCCCGAAGGAATGTTAAGGCTAAAATTGATAAGTTGGACTTTTTTCACTTTGATCATCTTGACCAAAATATTCGACTATATGGCCAACTCATTGTTTAGATAAACAACTTTGTCTACCCCTGTGGCCTCCGGCTGCTGCAGCTCTGCAGAAGCTGGAAGCACCTCACTGGACTAACATCGGAAACAGGAAAGGTTAACCCTAGTATAATAACCACTACAGCGCATTGTAGTAGTTACGATGCTTGGAGTAAGCCATTAAAATTATTTCAATCCTCATAGTTCCCACTTTTGCATAAAAAATCTGTACAATTCAAATGCTATTCTATGTAACTAATTCCTGTGGCGCTCCTATTAATCAGAAAAAAAATCACCTTGCACTGCACATAATTTAATCTCACCATGGGTTATTAAAACACATGCATCTCAGAAAGGTTTCTAACATGTATACGAGTTCTAATTTAACAGCACATAGTCAAAATCATTTTACACGTTGATTATTCATAGATACCATAATGAAGGTTACCTGAGTCTTGTGATTCCTTAAATGAATCCGGTTTATAATATGGTTTCACTTTTCTAGCTCCGGTATAAAGTTCTTCGAGGATCTTTTGAATGACCGTATTATGATACATGCTAAAATAGATTTTAAGGAAATATTCAGCCTTTAGATTTAAAATGGTTGCAATTATTATTATTATTGCCATTTATATTGCGCCAACGGATTTCGTAGCGCTTTACAATATTATAAGAAAGGGGATTTAGCTATAAATAGGACAATTATAAGAAAACTGACAGGAACGATAGGTTGAAGAGGAACCTGCTCAAACAAGCTTACAGTCTATAGGAGGTGGGGTATAAAACACATTAGGACAGGGAATAGCAATCAAAATAGGTAGGAGTGAAGCAGAGCTGGAGGAGAGAGCAGAGTGCTGCCTTTCAGGAGAGAGCAAGAGACAGGTGTGTGAGGTAGAGGTTACTCTGGGAGGCCATAAGCTTTCCTAACAAGATGGGTTTTAAGGCATTTCTTAAACGATTGAAGACTAGGGGAGAGTCTGATGGGGGTAGGCAGGCTGTTTCATAGGAAGACTTGCAAGCGTGAGCTGGCCGTACGGGTGCGAGTAGTGGACAGGAGAAGGTCACGGGCAGAGCAGAGAGACTGAGAAGCGGCATACCTATGAATCTGTGAAGAGATATAAGAGGGGCTATAATTGGTCAGTGCTTTATAGGTATGGGTTAGCACTTTGATTTGACTCCTATAGGATGCAGGAAGCCAATGTAAGGACTGACAAAGGGGTGAGGTCTGAGAGGACCAACTAGAGAGGAAAATCAGTCTGGCAGCAGCATTCATTACAGACTGTAGTGGGGCAATACGGTTTTTGGGAAGACCAATTGGGAGAGGGTTACAATAATCCATGCGGGAAATTACTAGAGCATAGACAAGCTCTTTGGTACCATCTTGCGTGAGAAAGGGGCGGATGAGGGTTATGTTTTTAAGATGGAATCTACAGGATTTGGTAACATACTGGATGTGAAGCTCAAAGGTGAGGCTAGAATCAAATATGACACCAAGACAGCGCACTTGCAAGGATGGATTGATGTGGATACCACTGACTTGAAGGGAGAGCGAAAGAAGAAGATCAGTGTTAGGAGGCGGAAAGACAAGGAGTTTTAGAAAGATTTAGTTTTAGAAGGTGGGAGGAGATCCAGTCAGAGATGGAGGAAAGGCAAGCAGTGACACGTTGCAGGACGGCAGGGGAGAGGTCCAGGGAGAAGAGATATATCTGGGTGTCTTCAGCGTACAGGTGGAAGTGGAATCCAAATGAGGCAATAAGTTTGCCAAGAGAAATTAGAAGGGGACCAAGGACAGAGCCTCGGGGAAATCCAACTGAGACAGGATGAATGGAGGCGGTATCATTAGAAAAGGAGACACCGAATGAGCGTGTTCCATAGATGTTTTCAATACTAGTGAATTTTAACATTCCAAATCCCACAAAAAGATATTATGAAATTACTGTAGCCTTAAAGGGTTTTGAAAAGTATAACAAATGTTGTGGCTCACCATGTCAAACAGGTTTTGGACATTTTAAAGGTTAAATAAAATATCAGAAACCCTAACCTTAATTTTAAAGACAGTTCACCATCTGTCATTTTACCACTCCCCCATTATCAATGTGTGAGGGGCAAATAAGTCACTGTTTGTTCCTTAAACACAGTAATGGCGGTTTATAGGGCAGACGCCAGTGGCATACTAAGCTGGCGGCGAGGGCGTCCGTCCTGGGTACCAACCTTCAGGGGGATGCCTTCTCCCAGTGACCAGCTGTCCACCTGCTCAGACACTCTAAATTTTGTGACCGGCAGGAGGGGAGCGCTGTGCAATGAGCTCCCCTCCTGCTGGTCACAAAATGTAGTGTGTCTGAGCAGGTGGACAGCGGTAGAGAAGCCTCTGTTCCCCTAGCCAGTCCAACAGGAAGTGCTTATCGAGAGCACAGAACTGTTTCCTGTCAGAAGCAGAGGTTCTTCTACCAAGGACCACCTCAGGTGAGCCTTAGCAGGCACACTAGAGGAGGGAGGCCAAATAGGGCCCCGGAGGTAGGAGGGGTGTGACGACAAAAAAGGGCACAGAAGCGGAGGGGGGCTAAAGATGACACGGGGGAACAAAGAAGGGCACATGAGGGGGGCTAAAAAGGGCACAGTAGGGGGGACAAAGGAGAGCACACGAGGGGATAGGACTTAAGAGGGCACAGGAGGGGCACAAAGAATGGCACAAGAGGGGACCCCTCTCTGTCTCATTAGAGACATCTTTGCCAGAAGCTCAAGGAAGAAAGGTGAATGGTTAGTGTAGGACCCACCTAGGAGGTTTGCCTTGACGTGGCAGGTGGGCATTTCCCTCTAATGGCCATTGGAGTAACTAAATAACCTCCATTAGTTTAAATATACATAGGGATTTGGGAAAGAGTGCAGGTAACTTTTTTTCTTTGGGTTTTAAAATTCATTTTATGTATGTAATTTCAATGAGACAAAATTGTCTCCCAATGAACCAAGATAAAACCAAACAGTAAGAAGCATAATATTTTTTTTAATCAAATTAAAAGTTCACTTAGTATGCAAGTCTACAATGTGCTTCAATTATGTTCTGTATTATAAAACATAGTTCTAAAACTGATGTGCTATTATCAATATATATAGCATCTCTATAATTATGCTGAACATTTTAAAGTCATCATATCCATACGCTTCCTCTTCCTAACATACGATTACCCCTCCTATTCCTAATCATATTTATCATAATAATACCTACTTATACAGTGCTTTTTGTCTCCAAGTGGAGAAACAAGCTCCTTAACCAAGTCAGCAGCTTAACAATTACATATTACTGAACAGATCTTACTCTATGGTACTATTGACTTTCCAATTTGTACTAAATTTCCTTTGAAGAGTTGTTGGGATTATAGGTTTTTTGGACAACATTTTTGCAAGCATTTGTATGCTTGTTATTTATATAATTTCAATTGGATAATTCTTTGGTGTATCCAGTTGATACAGTGGAGACTTTTTCTTTAATTAATTAATTCATTCATTCATTCATATTTCAAGTAAAAAGACTGCATGAAACTTACTGTACTCGAACAACAAGGTACATGCCTGTCCCTATTGCCATGGCAAAGAAAAAAATAGAGGCAACCACCACTCTGGCCAAAATGGGCTTTCCTGGAATAACTGAAAAGGGAAAGAAGAACATTATCTGAATAAAAAAGTAAAACAATCAACATTTAAAAGTGTGCAAGGTCAATTAAAAGAAAAAAAAAGTACTGTTCTTAATCATGGGTCAAATTGTAAAATCACATGTAAAACAAATTAAACTTTTGTCAGTTTTTCATGTTCTAAGAAAAAAAACAGTTATCATCACATTCGAAGATATCCAACAGAGAGCAGCACACATGAAGAGCTGGTCAGCCCCAGGACCTGACATGATCCACAACTACTGGATAAAGAAGTTAACAGCACTGCATGAACGCCTAGCAGCACAAATGAACCAGCTACTAGCAATAGGCTCCCAGCCTGACTGGCTAACACAAGACAGAACAAAACTGGTTACGAAAGACCCTCACAAGGGAACACCACCATCCAACTACTGACCAATAACCTGCCTGCCCACAACATGGAAACTCCTATCAGGCATTAAAGCCTTCAAGATTCAAGGGCATATGAGTCAATATGTGAGAAATACTCAGAATGGGATTGGAAACAACACCAGATGATCAGAACACCAACTACTGGTAGACCAAGCAGTCACAAGGAATTCTAAGACCAGACAGACCAATCTGTGTACGGCCTGGATTGACTACAAGAAAGCCTATGACACAACGCCACACACGGATACTGGAATGCTTGGCTCTCTACAAGGTCAGCAAGACAATAAGAGCCTTCATCAAGAACTTGATGGGCAAGTGGAAAACAACTCTAGAAGCCAATTCCAGGACAATAACTAAAGTGAACATTAAATATGGCCTATACCAAGGTGATACGCTATCCCCAATGCTGTTCTGCATAGGCCTCAACCCCTTAGCCACATCATCAAGAAGAGTGGATACGGATACAGGTACAAGAGTGGAGCTATCATCAGCCACCTACTCTACATGGACCACATCAAGCTGTATGCCAAGAATGAGTGAGACATTGACTCACTGATCCACCTAACTAAGATATACAGCAAGGACATCGGAATGTCATTCGGACTAGAAAAGTACGGGCGGATGATAGCAAAAAGAGGGAAGATGATCAGGACAGAAGGAGTTGAAGTTCCAGAAAGCCATATAAAAGATGTAGAGAACAGCTACAAGTACCTGGAGAAACCACAAATGCATGGTAACCATGAGGAAGAGGCAAGGAGGACAGCAACATCCAAGTACCTCCAAAGAGTCATACAGGTCCTGAAGTCCCTGCTCAATGGCAAGAACAATATCCAAGCCATCAACACATATGCCCTACTGGTCATCAGATACCCAGCTGGAATAATAACCTGGCCAAGAGAAGAACTGGTCACCATGGATGTCAAGACCAGGAAACTACTTACTGTGAATGGAGTACCCAGAGACTGTACACCTGCTGGAAGAAAGGAGGTCGGGGCCTGATGAGTGTCAAGGCCATAGTCCTGCATGAAACACAGATCATCCACAAGTACATCACGAAGATGGCTCCCAAAGATGAACTGCTAAGGGAATGCATGAGACGTTCTCAGATCAAGGCTGCAGAAAAGAGGAGGTTCCTTGGCAAGACAAACCTCTCCATGGGGTGTACAACTGGCAGATAGTGGATGTGGCTCACATGACAAAATCCTATCAGTGGTTGGAAAAGGCAGGACTGAAAGACAGCACTGAGGCACTAATCCTAGCAGCACAGGAGCAGGCACTCAGCACCAGATCAATAGAAGCTGGAGTCTACCACAACAGGCAAGACCCAAGGTGCAGACTGTGCAAAGAGGCCTCTGAGACAGTCCAGCACCTAGTAGCCGGGTGCAAGATGTTAGCAGGAAAAGCATACACGGAGAGACACAACCAAGTTGCTGGGATTGTGTACCAAAACATCTGCACAGAATATGGATTGGACCTGCCTAAGTCCAGATGGGAGATACCACAAAAGGTACTTGAGAATGACAGGGCTAAGATCCTGTGGGACTTCAAGATCCAGACAGACAAGCAAGTGCTGGCCACCAACCAGACATTGTGGTGGTAGACAAGGAACGAAAGACTGCAGTCGTGGTGGATGTGGCAATATCCAGTGACTATAACATCAGGAAGAAGGAACATGAGAAGGTGGACAAATACCAAGGACTGAAATAAGAACTAGAAAGGATGTGGAAAGTGAAGGCAGTAGTAGTCCCAGTTGTGATAGGAGCACTCGTGGCTGTGACTCCCAAGTTGGGTGAGTGGCGCCAACAGATTCCAGGTGGGACATCTGAGAACGCTGTCCAGAAGAGTGCAATTCTAGGAACAGCTAAGATACTGCGCAGAACTCTCAAACTCACAGGCATCTGGTAGAGGACCCGAGAATGAGGAATAAACATACCACCCAGGAGGGGTGAGAAAATATATATATTTAAATATATATATTTTGGAGTGTTCCTTAACCCCTTCCCGCCGTTACGGCGTTCTATGCCGTCGCGGCTTTAATGGGCTTTAAAGCCGTTGCGGCGGCATAGAACGCCGTAACGGCTTTGAGCCCCAGAGGACCGGCGGTACCTACCTCCGCCGCGATCCTCTTCTGGAGGGCTGCCAGACCGCCCAGGCAGCCCTCCTCCGGTGAATGAGGCCCCCGGGGGCCATGTGATCGCTCTCAAAGATCACATGGCCCCCTATAGCTGGCTGTGGATCTGCCAGCAGGGGGGCTGTCTGAAATAGCAGACAGTCCCCCTGCTGGTGGAAAGTGTAAAAGAAATAAAAAATAAACATGTTAAAATAAATTAAATATATTTTTATATATATAATATATGTGTATATATTATATATATAATATATATACATATTATATACATATAACGTCATACGTAATGTATTTTAATATTAATATAAGTATATATTAATATTAAAATACACTTATAATGACGTTACATATATATAATATGTATCTATATTATATATAATAGATATATACACATATATATATATATATACATATAATTACAATAATAAATAAATAAAATAATAAAATAAATAAATAAAATATTGTAACAAAATTTTATATAAATTATATATTCATATGTAATTTTATTCTAACTGTATTTTGTTATTAATATATATATATATATATATATATATATATATTGGTAACAAAATACACTTAGAATGACATTCTATATATATCTATCTATATATAAAATACAAATAACCGCAAATAAATATATATAGATAAATACATATAATTACATAAAAGATTACATTAGTATACACGTAGAATTTAAATACCTATAAATGCATATATATTAAAATTCTACGTGTATATTTAAGTAATCTTTTAACATAATTATGTAATTTGATTAATTAAAATTTGATTTACATGCCTGACAACACAGGGAGAAAGTGCAGAGAATTTAATTTGCAAGCACTATATTTGACCCTGTAACTCTCCAAGACTCCATAAAACCTGTACATAGGGGGTACTGTTTTACTCGGGAGACTTTGCTGAACTCAAATATTAGTGTTTCAAACTGGTAAATTGTATTACAACGATGATATTTTAGGTAAAAGTGACGTTTTTGCATGTTTTACAAACGAACGTCATGTTTATGGACTATATTATTGTTGTAATATGTTTTACTGTTTTAAAACACTAATATTTGTGTTTAGTGAAGTCTCCCGAGAATAACAGTACCCCCACATATAAGGCTTCATTTTGTTGACATTGAAATTTGCCAGATTGGTTATGTTGCCTTTGAGACCGTATAGTAGCCCAGGAATAAGTATTACCCCCATGATGGCATACCATTTGCAAAAGTAGACAACCCAAGGTATTGCAAATGGAGTATGTCCAGTCATTTTTAGTAGCCACTTAGTCACAAACACTGGCCAAATATTAGTTTTTTTGCTTTTTTCACAAAAAAAACCAAATATGAACGCTAACTTTGGCCAGTGTTTGTGACTAAGTGGCTACTAAAAAAGATTAAACATACCCCACGTTCAATACCTTGGATTGTCTAGTTTTTCAAATGGTCTGCCATTATGGGGGTAATTCTCATTCCTGGGCTACCACACCGTCTCAAAGGTAACATTACCAATCTGGCAAATTTCAATGTGAAAATGGAATGTTCTATATTTGACCCTGTAACTTTCCAAAACACCATAAAACCTGGTAATGGGGGGTACTGTTGTACTCGTGAGACATCGTTGATTACAAATATGTGCATTTTTTTGCAGTAAAACCTAACAGTATTATGACATTTACAGCTAAAATGTGAGGCGGAACTACAAATTAAAAAAAAAAAATTCTCACAGTTTTTTAAATTTTATTCATAATAAATTATGTTTCATATATAAATATTTGATATGAAATGAAAGCCCTGTTTCTCCTGAACAAAATGATATATAATAAGTGTGGGTGCATTTACTATGAAAGAGGTAAATTACGGTTGGACAGACATGTAGCGCAAATGCCAGGTTTTGTTTACATTTTGTTTTGTTCACAACGTGTACATTTGGCTCCGTCCTTAAGAGGTTAAACTCTTTGGATTAATAGCTGCCCCTTCCCAACTTTCAACACGGAAAAGGTTAAATCAATTAAAGCAGGGGTGCCCAAAAAATATAGCCCCAGATGTTTTAAAACTAAAACTTCCATGATGCTTTGTTACCCTAAAGGAATGCAAAGGCATGCAAAACATCATGGGAGTTGTAGTTCTACAATATCTGGGGATCTACCTTATGGGAACCCCTGAATTAAAGCATTGAAAGCACTACTTATCCACTCACACCATCAAGGGCTTTCTGCTTGAGAGTCGGGAGGTGTTACAAACGGGGTTTATAAAAAGTTGATTTGGTAACTTTCATTAAATAAGCCTGTGTGCAGATAAACCCCTAAAGAATTTCAACAGGCTCAGGTTCATTAATGAAACGTACTTATGTTATTTTTTCTTAATTTATCAGGGTTTTTTCTGGATAAGCGCATTTTATAAGAACTTTAAAATGCAATAACTAAAATTAGCAATCCGTTTTTCGTTTTTATTTTTAACATTTACAAGTCTAATTCATGCAATATTGTTTATTTCTGTATAAAGGTCTTTTTTTTTTTTAATTAAACAAGCTTTTTACCTTTGTTCCAGCATCTTTTAATTCTTGTCAGAATTGTTGACTCTTTGCAAAATAAAATGGTAAAAAATATATTACAAATATGCAGTATTTTATCACAGGTATTTTTAAATGGACGTTATCTATTTTTATGAAATATGTAACATCAATAAAATTATGTATCCACATACAATGGATATGACCTGCTTGTATTTAATTATTATCCATAGGGTAAAAAGTAAGTAGCAGTAAAGTAAATGGAAAATCCTACATAGGTAGCCAGAGGTCTAAAAATATATGGGGAAATAATTAGCACAATTTGATGGCAGCTCCCATATGGACATTAAGGCAAACATTAGATGTGGAGATTCTAATGTTTCCAATTTAGGCCGAAAGGTGGAATTTAGGTTGAAAGGTTTAATTCCCAAACTCCAAGCCAAAATGTAAGCCGTATCACGAACCAAACGAAATGAGCAATTGAACGAGCATGTTCATTTTGATTTGTAATTCTTAACAAATAGATGACTGATGGCTAGAGGATAGTCTCTAAATGTTAATTTTATTCACAGATCAAGTGAGAAGTGATCTGAGAAAAAAATAAGGAGCAGTAAAAAGTATCTATAGTCATATATTAAAAAATTTATAAATATCTAATATATTTATATAGTTTTTTTTCTGCTCCTCCACTTTTTTCCTCTATTGTTTACTTTTTCTCACTTGATCTGTGAACCAATAGGTGGTAAAATGCACCTATCAGTGTACTATAAAATATATACATAGTATTTATAGTGTGCATACATTTTGCACTACACTGATTGGTCCATTTCCACGCCTTTTGGTTTGTCTTATTTGTTTTCCAAATCGTTCATAAAGAAAATGGGCAGAGCCGAACTGCCATATTGCTGAAATTTGGGTGTCCTAAAATTCTCTTTCCTTTTTTGCAAAAGTGATTCAGCCCAAAAGAATATTTTCCGCTTACACAATTATAGTAAAGATACTCTTATCACATGGGTACAAAGTCCACTGTTTTACTGCCATTTGCTTAGCAGACTAGTATTTAGATGAATATAAAATCACAAATGACTAGGGGACAGGGGCAAACTATCGAGGGCAAATTGTAGAATATTTGGCATTAAGCATTCAAAATAACAAGGAACGCCACTATAAAGCACTATAAAGTTCCCAAAATCAGTCATGAAAACCTCCCTAGTACAGTTTGATTACAATCTCTTACCGAGATTATATCATCTTTGAATAATCAATAATTCCAATAAACAACCGCATCTGTCCCAGAGAGACAATTTAAAAGGTGATTTATCCTCCAGTATATACATTATAAATGGTTGATACAAGTTCTGGGAGCAGCAATTGTCTATCAATATTCTAATAACATTCCATGGGTGTCCAGGACAATGTTAAACAAAATAATATATGGAATAAATACAAACTGATGTTAACGTTGAGGACAATGCATTAGGTTGACAAACAAAGAAAAGTATGCTTACAGGTTTACCTTTTTTAATTGGTAATTCTGTCCTATTTATGTCTCCGAATCCAGTTTCATTTTTGGAGTTCACTCTCTCAATGTCTGCAAATATTCGTAAAATATATTTCAAAGGTAAAATATATAACACTCCCACATAATCACACTCAACCACACTTAGCAACCCTGCACGCAAACACACACAGTCAACCACACCAAACAATCACACTCAACCAACTGCCATACAATCATGCCCAGCCAATCCCACACACAATCACATGGAGCCCAACACACATAATCATACTAATCCAACCCAACACACAATTACACTCAGCCAACCTCACAAGGCAAGGAGGAGGAGGGGGTTGGAGAGGAAGCCATCATTGATACTTGTGCCAAGGCTCATTCTAGTTATGCACCTGTTACCGAAGGACTATTAGGCTTATTCACTAAAGTAAGAATGTATAGTGAATTTAAAGTGAATTTCAAATTCTAAGGAAAAAAATCCAAACTGGAAAAATTGTCTAAGTCAGCTATGCTAACAGTTTTGTTACATTGGCTTTAAATTTTAAATTCACATTGAATTCTCCCTTTAATGAAGAACCCTGTGAAACATCAGCTTGTAGAAAATGGGCTTAGAACTTTACCTGGTTTTATCAATAATTTACTCCCATTTCCTTTTTCAATTCCTACAGCATCACGTTCATTTAGTGGTTCCATTACCTTCGCATCTGCAAATTATGGCGAAACATATTTTATAGTTAGAAATCAGTCTGTGTAAATAAGATGCATTGTTCTTGTTCTAAATTACATTTTAGCTGCATGAATTGTTATTAGTAAGTCACCCAAAATTTTCTAAAACGGCCCCGCCTCACCCTACTCGCACTTTGTCCATTTGGAATCTTGGAAGGTATGCTAGTGCTTTTGAGCTTTGTAAAAACAAGGAACATCAATGCACGTTGCCTAACTTTAAATGTAAAATAGTAATATGCTGATAAATGCAATATGAAATATACTAACAGTATATGGAGCAGGCTAACGGCCTATCAGACATGGATGGTATAATCCCCTAGGATTCTTATTTTTTTATTTTATTTTTTTTACCCACTTTTTACCTGTTTTTTGCCCATATACTTTTTAGCTGTTATTTTCATTTTTTTATTTTTTTGCTTTTGCCTGGCATTTGAACTTACCTTCAGACATCTCTACTGACTACTGTATAAAGAATCCTAGGTGGGGATTATACCACCTATGCCTAATACGTAGAGCAGATAGCATGCTCCATCTACTGTAAGTAAAGTTCCATTATATGCTCTTATACTTACCTCAATTGACATTTTCCACCTCAAAATCATCCTGCTGTGAACTACTGCCTGAGGAATATCCTGCAAGTGGAGATATAATACCACTGCATGCTGTTTTACCCAGAGCTGGTTTTAGCTCTACCATATGTGAGTTTGCACTCTTAGGCCTTTGTGTCGTCTGCTATATATTATATCACCATATTGCACTATTGGTTTGTGCTTTCTTTCATATGCTACTAATGACTGAAGTTGTTCCACAAGCACTTTATGAACATTGGAAGATGGATTATTATTAATATTTTTAAGACTGTATTTTTTTAACTTTTTTAATTTTGGAGTGTACTAAAGACAATTTTTCATTGTGTTTTTAGAGATTTTTTTAGATCTCTTATTTTGTTGGTCTTCTTTGGCGCAACTGTCCTCTGTTTTACTTGCTAAGTTTATTTTTAGGGTTTTAGAGGGAATGTTTAGGTATGCTGTCTTTTCTATTTTATGTCTATAGTTCAGTTGTTCAGCGCTGCTCCATCCCCCTTGTTTGTTTTGAACATGATATAAGCTTTCTACAAAGGGATTTGCATAAATTGGGGGACTGGGCAGGCAAGCAGTAGATGAGATTCAATACAGATAAATGCAAAGTCATGCATTTTGGAATAAGGTACCTAGAAGCCACTTATACATTAAATGGGATTGAGTTACGGATAACATAAAATTAACAGGACTTGGGAACAATCATAGATAAACTAGGCAACGATATGCAATGCCAGTCTTCCATTGCAAAAGCTACTAAGGTGCTTTTATGTATAAAAAGTATTGATTCACATGATCAAAATATAATTTTGCTTCTTTATAAATCAATGGTAAGACTCCCACCTTGAATTTGTGGTGCCATTTCAGGCAACACTTTTATTGCAGAACTAGATAAACTACAGAGGTATGCATCTTTGACAGCCAGGGAAATGTGTAGTGTGCAGAATAATACATTTTCAAAGATCCCAAAATTATTAAAAGTAGAGATGGCTCTGTCAACCATGTAGTGCAACAGTTTTTTTTTTTAATTCTTTATTTATTCCAAGACAAGACATCTCAAGCAGTATATATACAGCAACATAGGAATATGCATATACAAGTGTGTATATTTTACAAGTATACAAGTGTGATACTTTGATCATGGCTTTTTACAGTGGCAAGATAGGTGTACAATCAAGGTTGCATAGATCCTATAACTAGAGACCACTGGTTGTATTTACGTCTCTAATTTTAGGTAGTTCTCATCTCTATATACTTCTAGATATCCCGTCTGGTTTTAAATAGTAGATAAAACATGTAACATATAACATATGAAATATGACGACCGACATGTGTTTGCAGAAAAAAACGACTAGGAATAGTATACGAGTGTACGTTTGCTCCCATGTCTCTATTGTAACACACGTTTATTTCCATTATGTACGGTTGGACAATAAGATTAAGGAAATAAGAAATTAAAGAAAAGGAAAAAATAGAAGTGCCTCGAAAATCAGAGGTCACGGAAAAGGGGGTATAGGAAGGGGGGGAGGGAGGTGAGTCCGAGGAGAGCAGCCTGATAAAAAGGTGTCTTAGGGAACGTGCTTCCCTTCCAACCCTGTCCCCTACGGGTGTCCGCAAAATCCCCCCCTGCAAGCTGGGTCCGAGTAATACGATTTACCCCCTTTCTCAGGTGCCCCGAGAGGTATGTTTGGATGTTTTAATCCAGTCTGCCTTTCTCTAATCGCTTACAGTGCTATTTGTCAAGGGGCTCCAGATCTTGTCAAATTTCTTCATTGTCCCCCTGACCTGTGCTGTCAGCTTGGTGCAACAGTTTTTTAACTGCAATACTACAGAGATGGTTTACCTCTTAGTGTGTTCCTGTGGCTTACATTATGTAGGAAAAACCTTTAGACCCTTTAAAAGACGGATAATGATACACATTCACTTGGTCTCCTCACAAAGAGACATCCCAGTAGCAAGGCACCCACAAGCCTACCATGAAAATTCCTCCCGGGAACTTCATTTTCTTGGCATAGAACATTTTACACTAAGTCAACAAGGTGGTAATCTCTAGACTTGAAACTGAGACAATGTGAATTTTTCTTGTTTAATTCACAGCATACTATTCTGACCCCAAACATCATTGAGTTATCTATTACCTATGCAAATAAAGCCATATGACACATTAAAATTCACTAATAAATCTACAAGGGATTTTCAGTTTTAAAAATAATACATTTTCTGTGTTGGTTATTATAGTTATCAGTTGTTTACTTACTTATTGGACTATTAAAAAAAAAATTAATAATTATTATCACTTATACTATACCTAAGGATATACCTGGATGGTTTGTTTTTTGTTTGTTTTCTTGTTATCCTATGTGACACTCCACAGTGATCCCACTGGTCACTTACCTGGTTCTTCTTCATATCTTCATATCCTTATCCCCGGGGATTCCTTGAAACCTTAACCATTTGAGAATGTATTTTTTTTTCTTTCTTTTTTTCTATTACCTTGGAGTTAGCTTTGCACCCTTTGGATATCTGCAATGCCATGGACATTCTGCTAACCCAATGGCATTATGGTATCTTATTGATATATTCAGATAAGGGTAGATTGTTTACTATGAATAAAGATGGTGGGTGATACATGAAAGGTGATGCAGGCGAATCGTTTCTACCATTGGAGTTTTCCATCGATGCATTTAGATAAAGGGATGATATTGGTTAATTAAAGATTGTAAACATGGTGGAATAGTGTATATATTCAGTGGTTGTTATGATGGGCACTATGTGAAAAATGCTGCAAGTTAATTACCTTCCGATATATGCTCCACCATGCACCCTTTTGATATCTGCAATGCGATAGTTACTCTTCCAAATTAATAACATTATGGTATCGCATTCTTATATTCAGAAAAGGGTAGGTGATTCACTAGGAATGAAAATGTTGGGCGTCACATGAAAGGTGATGGATCATATCTGCCAAATTAATAGCATTAGAGGTTCTCATTGATAAGTGTATAATGTCGGTTTATTAAGGACTGTGAACACGGTGGAATCATCGAAGATTGTAAACATGGTGGGTGACACATTAAAAGGGATTTATACTAATTATATTCCTACATCCATTCTACTGCATTTCCCCTTGGGATATGTATGGACCCACCCACTGCTGCATATGAGTGGCAGCACATAGTGAACTAGCAAGCTGGGCATTTACATATGTAGGTTTTAAAAGTCTCCTATCTGTTCATTTAGTCATGCCCCATGTGATAGGTAATGGGAAGACACCTGCTATGAATGATGAACAACACCAAAAAGGGTTTCTATGGGTGGAGTTTGCTGATTACATTTGCTTTATAAACCCCATTGATATCCATTCAATCTTGTGCACCAGATGAAGGCGCCAGAGGCGTACCTTGAGCATTTGGCACCTGGGGCTAACCCTGTGTTTGGCACCCCCCTCCCCATCCCCCCATCACTTTAAAATGTAAATAACACCTGTGATACTTTTTAAATGTTTTCATTTTAAAAAATTGCACAAATGTGTAAATTTTGAAAAACCCATGTCCTGCCCCTTTTTACAAAACCCCTGCCCGCTGTTCTACAAAATGAATGTCCTGCCTCCTTCTACAAAACCCCTGCACCCCCTTTCCATAAAACTCCTGCACTCCCCTTCCCAAAAAAAACACGCCTCTCCTTCTAAAGCCCCTGCTCAGCAGAATTCATTTTTTGTACACAACAATATTAGCAACAGTCTTCAGAGTCCAGTCCCAGGCACATAGTCACTCGCACACAGTCACACACAGCTACGGGCAGACAGTCACACACAGTTAGAGGCAGACAGTCACACAAACAGTTACACGCAGTCACATATACAATTACAGGCAGTCACATGCACACAGCCAGAGGCAGATAGTCATACACACACACACAGACAGTCACATGCAAATAGTCACACACACACACTTACAGGTAGCATCCCCCAATCACATGCACACTGGTATTCACACATAGTCACATGCAGACAGTCACAGGCACACTGTCACACACAGCTAGTTACAGGCA